TATTGTTTATCCCAAAAAAGAAAAAAAATGTTTGTGGCAACTTCTATTTGATTATGATTATGTTATGTAATGATGGCGAGTTGTAACATTCTTCCACTTAGTAGAAATATGTTTATTGGTTTTATTATTGTTACCTAAACAAAGGGGAAGCAGAATTTCTTTTTAAAGAGTCCAATCCAACAACACACAGGAACATGTGAGGCCTATTTCAGATTTCTACAGTAATACGATGCCTGATGATCATGTACAGTACTCACACCTAGTCAAGGTATAAGATAGTACTGATATTAAATTGTCAGAGAATTTAAACCAAGCACAAATCTTATCTTTTTTAAAATACTTTATTAAGCTTTTATTGCCTTTAATTAATAGCGTTAACTAAGAGTGGCTCTACCAGGTGAGCTATCAAGATGCTCACCTGGTAGAGCCAATTCTAGATATTTAAAATCTCAGTTGTGTCATGATTAAAAATAAATTCTTCTTGTATCTTGTATAGAAATTTAAATCTGGTTACATACAGTCACATACACAATCATATAGCCTACAGTACAGCAAATAGTGCAATCTATAGGCCTATGAAGGACATTTTTCATATCGATCGCAGGTCTGTTTTCCTTATGAAATTATTTACCCAACAATTCCCACCATGAGCAAGCACTTGGCAACAGTGGCAATGAAAAACTTCTTTTTAAGAAGCAGAAACCTCGGGCAGAGCCAGGCTTAAGGTGGGCGGCCGTCTGCTTCTACCGGTTGGGTTTAGAGAGAGAGAGAGAGGGAGAGAGGGGGGTAGAAGGGGGTAAGAGAGAGGGGTAGGAGGGGGTAAGAGAGAGGGGCAGAAGGGGGTAAGAGAGGGTAAGAGGGGAAGGCTGTGTTGTCCAAGCTCCGTTTTTTCTTCGTTCCTCTATGTCCTGGCTGACAATTCTTCCTCTGGATTAATGGGCATCATACAGGAACACGATTTTCAGTCCTCATCATTTTTCTCAGGCTCGTAGATCACAGTCAGAGGTGGTCCATGCTCTGCTGTCACATACAGCAGTGGAGCTTCTTTTAGCTCTGGTGCTCAACATGTGCATTTTCATAAGCTCTGTCATCACAGTTAACAGCATAGGCCCAAACTGTGGAGCTTCTTTTAACTCTGGTGTCAAAAAGAGCACTGGTCCAAACTCTGTTATCCCAGCTAACAGTGGTTCCAGCTCAGGCCTCAAACTTTGTAGTAGTGTGTAGCTCTGTCATCACACACTGTAGCTGCAGAAACTCAGAGTTCATCGGCAGCCCAAACTCTGTGTTCATTGTGAGCTGTAGTGAAATCTCCAACTTCACCATCAGCACTGGTCCAAGCTCCATCGCCACAGCCAAGTCCGTCTCGAACTCCACTTGGATCTTTATCAGCGGTCCGAGCTCCATTGTTAAAGCCGGCAGTGGTCCAAGCTCCATCGTCAGTGACAGAAGTGGTCCAAGCTCCGTCGTCGTAGAGAGTAGTGGTCCGAGCTCTATCACTGGAGGCAGCAACTGTCCAAGCTCTGTCTTCAAAGTCTGTAGTTGTCTCATCAGGGTCATCATCAACAGCAAAAGGTTGCCCAAAAACTGGGAAATGACTGAAAAATAATGTGGAAACAACCACGAAAAATTTTAGATTCATTGTCCAAACAGCCAAATACTGTAGTCAAACAAAGCCTTTATCCAAAATATTCCCTATCAGTAACAGCAACAATGAAGTTTATTTGATAGGATAACTTATGTACAATATATATGAAGACTAGGGATGGGACAATATACGATTTATCGTTATGATGAAAAAAACATATGAGTGACTTCACAAAGATATCTAGCTGCTGATGTACAGTCCTATATTGATTTCTTGATTCATTTTGAATGTCTACAAGTGCCTGTCACCACATCTGAAGGTTTGACTTTCCCACTGTGTCCCCCACAAGAAAAAATTAAACCAAATACTATGGATTCATAACAACAACAGGAAGGTCAGGTGATCTGTGATGCAATAAAAAAAAATCAGTTCCTTAACAAAAAAATGTAAGTGAATACAGTATGTTTTGATGATTATCAGGATAATATTGTAAATTCTTTTGGCCAGGATAATGGTGACATGAAATTTTAATATTGTCCCATGCTTAATCAAGTCAGGAATTTTAAAATCACACATCCTACATTTTCACATAGATCTTTAAAGCCATATTTATAGAATCTGAACACCCTGCTGCCCCCCAGTGGTGGCATCAAAAATACAGTGTGCAACATGCAGACTCCACCATTTTTCAGTGGTACTATTTCAGTATTTTGGAGTACAAAAACTTTGATGTGATTTGATTTACTTTTCCGCCACTGGTGTTTATCTGTGATGGGGTCCACACCAAATTCAGTGAGAAGGTCTGCCTTACCTGATCTCCTGCTCAAGGTTTTAGAGGATGATCCTTGCTGGTTTTTGTGTGAATTCCACATTGTTTTCTCTTTCGCTCTCTGTGTTTTACAATTGTCCGTCGTAGTACGCTCTATGTGTTTCATCAATACGTTTGTAGAGTTTTCTCTTCGTGTTTGTCACCTTACCTGCTGATGAAGAATGATTCTAGAACCTGATGTCATAAAATAGAACATTTTTTCTTTCATCTTGATTCTTTTCTTCTTTTTTTACTCTATAATTTCTTAATGCTTTTATATCTATATTTTTTTGGTGTGTTGTTTTTATTACCTTTCTTTTTTTCTTTTTTACCTTATGTGAAGTGTCTTTGAGTTCCTAGAAAAGCGCTTTATGAATAAAATGTATTATTATTATTATTATTATTATTATTATTATTAGGCAATATTCTCTTTGTTACACTAATACCAATTAAGCAAATTAAAGTGAATTCCACTCCAATTAAAGTCACATGGCTGTGAGGTCATACTCTATATTCTTCCATTCTGCATAATTAGGCAGGGACCCGATTTCAAAAATAAATACACTAAAAGCTACAATACGAAAATAAAACCTGGGACTCGACTTCTCTGAAACATTTCAACAGACCTATTAGTCTCATATGCTCACCATCTTATATACCACCATAATGGCTTCCAGAGGATGTATCTGAACAACTCTGGTGATCCACTGGTTTTTAATATAGTGCCATCTTCTGGTCAATCATTTTTATTTATCCAGTAGTACTTTGTTTAGCCATTGTTCCGACAGCCCATTGCTTTTCTGAAACCCCAATTGTCCAAAAAATGTCCCTTTATACAGAAAGCCCATTTCCCCTACAGCCCATGATTCCAAAAACAAACGGCCATTGCTCCAAAGGTTCTGAAAATACTAGGACAACCAACAAGGAGACTGAACATTTAGTCAATTTATTTCAACAACTTAAAAATTTTTCTTGTTGAAACACAGAATAAATAACTTATCAATATAATAGATTATGAGGAACACTAACAGTAACTTACAAATTAACTGCTGTCCCTGCCTGAACCCACTTCGTCATCGTCTTCCCTGGAGTCAGAGTCCTGGTCGGAGGTGCTGTAAATCACCTGGCCTCCATTGGTCACAGACGCTGTGAACCTGGTTCTGTTGCATGCTCACCCGGTTCCGGTTCTGGTGCTCATTCTCCTATGTTAGCTCCTGTGCTAGTAGTTTAAACAAACCTGGCCCCCCGGTCAGGGAAAGAGTTAGTAGCTAAGTAGCTAATGGCAGCTAGTACTGTGGTATAAGTGTTGCAACAATTCTCTAATATTTTTGTCCTGGTGACAAGAAGCAGCTACCGAACAGAGTTTGATGGTTTTTTCAGCGACTATCTGACTAAAAATGTGGGTCGACTAAGACTCTTTCCAGCTACTAATGGCTTAGTCGATTATAGGACACTCCGGCATTTTGTTGTCTATTTCTGCCACAGCAAAAGAGCATTATTATCTGTGAAACAACAGGGAATTACATTTTTTATCTAACTTTATTTTAGGTACGTAATCTCTCACTGAGACACAGGGTCTCATTTTCAACAGAGTCCTGGACTTGTAAACTCGTGTTACTGTTCAGTTTTTATTCTCTGGACAATTTCAGTCATTTCTGTCTTGTACCTTCAATAGGTTTAAGAACTGTACATGATCATCAGACATCAGGTATTACTGTAAATATCTGAATGAAGCCTCACATTTTCCTGTATGTTGTTTGATCTGACTCATTAAAAAGAAAATCTGCATGCTTTTTGTATGTAAAAAAGACCCACCCACACATTTCTATTTGCTGGAAGAATTTTTATTGTCTATAAATAATATAGAAAAATATAAAAGTACATACAATTTTGTTCAATGCTAATTAAAAAAATAAAAACTTAATAATTAGATAAATAAATACATGAATAAATAGATAAATAAATAGACTTTATATAGT